AGTGTAGTAGATTGTAGTGTAGTAGATTGTAGTGTAGTAGATTGAAGTGTAGTAGGTTGTAGTGTAGTAGATTGTAGTGGAGTAGATTGTAGTGGAGCAGGTTGTAGTGGAGTAGGTTGTAGTGGAGTAGATGGTAGTGTAGTGGGTTGTAGTGTAGTAGATGGTAGTGTAGTAGATGTTAGTGGAGTAGATCGTAGTGGAGTAGGTAGTAGTGGAGTAGATGGTAGTGTAGTAGGTTGTAGTGTAGTAGGTTGTAGTGTAGTAGATTGTAGTGTAGTAGGTTGTAGTGGAGTAGATGGTAGTGTAGTAGGCTGTAGTGTAGTAGGTTGTAGTGTAGTAGATTGTAGTGTAGTAGGTTGTAGTGGAGTAGATGGTAGTGTAGTGGGTTGTAGTGTAGTAGATGGTAGTGTAGTAGATGTTAGTGGAGTAGATCGTAGTGGAGTAGATTGTAGTGGAGTAGGTTGTAGTGGATTAGGTTGTAGTGTAGTAGGTTGTAGTGTAGTAGGTTGTAGTGTAGTAGGTTGTAGTGTAGTAGATTGTAGTGTAGTAGGTTGTAGTGGAGTAGATGGTAGTGTAGTAGGCTGTAGTGTAGTAGGTTGTAGTGTAGTAGATTGTACTGTAGTAGGTTGTAGTGGAGTAGATGGTAGTGTAGTGGGTTGTAGTGTAGTAGATGGTAGTGTAGTAGGTTGTAGTGTAGTAGATTGTAGTGTAGTAGGTTGTAGTGTAGTAGATGGTAGTGTAGTGGGTTGTAGTGTAGTAGATGGTAGTGTAGTAGGTTGTAGTGCAGTAGATTGTAGTGTAGTAGGTTGTAGTGGAGTAGATGGTAGTGTAGTGGGTTGTAGTGTAGTAGATGGTAGTGTAGTAGATGTTAGTGGAATAGATCGTAGTGGAGTAGATTGTAGTGGAGTAGGTTGTAGTGGATTAGGTTGTAGTGTAGTAGGTTGTAGTGTAGTAGGTTGTAGTGTAGTAGGTTGTAGTGTAGTAGATTGTAGTGTAGTAGGTTGTAGTGGAGTAGATGGTAGTGTAGTAGGCTGTAGTGTAGTAGGTTGTAGTGTAGTAGATTGTACTGTAGTAGGTTGTAGTGGAGTAGATGGTAGTGTAGTGGGTTGTAGTGTAGTAGATGGTAGTGTAGTAGGTTGTAGTGTAGTAGGTTGTAGTGTAGTAGATTGTAGTGTAGTAGGTTGTAGTGTAGTAGATGGTAGTGTAGTGGGTTGTAGTGTAGTAGATGGAAGTGTAGTAGGTTGTAGTGTAGTAGATGGTAGTGTAGTAGGTTGTAGTGTAGTAGGTTGTAGTGTAGTAGGTTGTAGTGTAGTAGATGGTAGTGTAGTGGGTTGTAGTGTAGTAGATGGTAGTGTAATAGGTTGTAGTGTAGTAGATTGTAGTGTAGTAGGTTGTAGTGTAGTAGATCGTAGTGTAGTAGGTTGTAGTGTAGTAGATTGTAGTGGAGTAGGTTGTAGTGTAGTAGATGGTAGTGTAGTGGGTTGTAGTGTAGTAGATGGTAGTGTAGTAGGTTGTAGTGTAGTAGATGGTAGTGTAGTGGGTTGTAGTGTAGTAGGTTGTAGTGGAGTAGATTGTAGTGGAGTAGATTGTAGTGTAGTAGGTTGTAGTGGAGTAGATTGTAGTGTAGTAGGTTGTAGTGTAGTAGATTGTAGTGGAGTAGGTTGTAGTGGAGTAGATTGTAGTGGAGTAGATCGTAGTGTAGTAGATGGTAGTGTAGTGGGTTGTAGTGTAGTAGATGGTAGTGTAGTAGATGGTAGTGTAGTGGGTTGTAGTGGAGTAGGTTGTAGTGTAGTAGATTGTAGTGGAGTAGGTGAGGTGAGGTGAAATTGGGTTTAACGTCGCGTCCAAGATTATTGCACTTATATAGCGACGTGCATGCACGTGTATGTGTGTGTGTGGCTGCTTGTACTAGTCCGGACTGATGCCGATTTATAGTGCTAGCCCACTGAGATACCATGCCGGAGTTTAACATGAATACCCCACTCAGACACAGTATACTGACTCTGAGCCGACCAGTCCTTGTTTTAGCCCCTTAATGCAGAGCGCCAGACAGGGTAACAACAAGTACAATCTTTTAACGTCTTTTTGTATGCACGGCCCGGGATCGAACCCTGGACCTTCCGCTCTCCGGGCGGACGCTCTACCACAAGACCACGGAGGCGGTCGTAGTGGAGTAGGTTGTAGTGGAGTAGATTGTAGTGGAGTAGATTGTAGCGTAGTAGATTGTAGCGTAGTAGATTGTAGTGGAGTAGATTGTAGTGGAGTAGATTGTACTGTAGTAGATTGTAGTGTAGTAGGTTGTGGAGTAGTAGATTGTAGTGGAGTAGATTGTAGTGGAGTAGGCTGTAGTGTAGTAGATTGTAGTGTAGTAGATTGTAGTGTAGTAGATTGTAGTGTAGTAGGTTGTAGTGTAGTAGATTGTAGTGTAGTAGATTGTAGTGTAGTAGATTGTAGTGGAGTAGGCTGTAGTGGAGTAGATTGTAGTGTAGTAGATTGTAGTGTAGTAGGTTGTAGTGTAGTAGATTGTAGTGTAGTAGATTGTAGTGTAGTAGGCTGTAGTGTAGTAGATTGTAGTGGAGTAGATCGTAGTGTAGTAGATCGTAGTGTAGTAGATCGTAGTGTAGTAGATTGTAGTGGAGTAGGCTGTAGTGTAGTAGATTGTAGTGGAGTAGATTGTAGTGGAGTAGATTGTACTGTAGTAGATTGTAGTGTAATAGATTGTAGTGGAGTAGGTTGTAGTGTAGTAGGTTGTAGTATAGTAGGTTGTAGTGTAGTAGATTGTAGTGTAGTAGGTTGTAGTGTAGTAGATTGTAGTGAAGTAGCTTGTAGTGTAGTAGGTTGTAGTGTAGTAGCTTATAGTGTAATAGATTGTAGTGTAATAGATTGTAGTGTAGTAGATTGTAGTGGATTAAGTTGTAGTGTAGTAGGTTGTAGTGTAGTAGATTGTAGTGCAATAGATTGTAGTGTAGTAGGTTGTTGTGTAGTAGATTGTAGTGTAGTAGATTGTAGTGTAGTAGATTGAAGTGTAGAAGCTTGTACTGTAGTAGATTGTAGTGGATTAGGTTGTAGTGTAGTAGGTTGTAGTGTAGTACGTTGTAGTGTAGTAGATTGTAGTGCAATAGATTGTAGTGTAGTAGGTTGTAGTGGATTAGGTTGTAGTGTAGTAGGTTGTAGTGTAGTAGGTTGTAGCGTAGTAGATTGTAGTGCAATAGATTGTAGTGTAGTAGGTTGTAGTGTAGTAGATTGTAGTGTAGTAGATTGTAGTGTAGTAGATTGAAGTGTAGTAGGTTGTAGTGTAGTAGATTGTAGTGGAGTAGATTGTAGTGGAGCAGGTTGTAGTGTAGTAGGTTGTAGTGGAGTAGGTTGTAGTGTAGTAGGTTGTAGTGTAGTAGGTTGTAGTGTAGTAGATGGTAGTGTAGTAGGTTGTAGTGTAGTAGATGGTAGTGTAGTAGATGGTAGTGTAGTAGATTGTAGTGGAGTAGATTGTACTGTAGTAGATTGTAGTGTAGTAGATTGTAGTGTAGTAGATTGTAGTGTAGTAGATCGTAGTGTAATAGATTGTAGTGGAGTAGATTGTAGTGTAGTAGGTTGTAGTATAGTAGGTTGTAGTGTAGTAGATTGTAGTGTAGTAGGTTGTAGTGTAGTAGATTGTAGTGAAGTAGCTTGTAGTGTAGTAGGTTGTAGTGTAGTAGCTTATAGTGTAATAGATTGTAGTGTAATAGATTGTAGTGTAGTAGATTGTAGTGGATTAAGTTGTAGTGTAGTAGGTTGTAGTGTAGTAGGTTGTAGTGTAGTAGATTGTAGTGCAATAGATTGTAGTGTAGTAGGTTGTAGTGTAGTAGATTGTAGTGTAGTAGATTGTAGTGTAGTAGATTGAAGTGTAGAAGGTTGTAGTGTAGTAGATTGTAGTGGATTAGGTTGTAGTGTTGTAGGTTGTAGTGTAGTAGGTTGTAGTGCAATAGATTGTAGTGTAGTAGGTTGTAGTGTAGTAGGTTGTAGTGTAGTAGATTGTAGTGTAGTAGGTTGTAGTGTAGTAGATTGTAGTGTAATAGATTGTAGTGTAGTAGGTTGTAGTGTAGTAGATTGTAGTGGAGTAGATTGTAGTGGAGCAGGTTGTAGTGGAGTAGGTTGTAGTGTAGTAGATTGTAGTGTAGTAGGTTGTAGTGTAGTAGGTTGTAGTGTAGTAGGTTGTAGTGGAGTAGGTTGTAGTGTAGTAGGTTGTAGTGTAGTAGATTGTAGTGTAGTAGATTGTAGTGTAGTAGATTGTAGTGTAGTAGGTTGTAGTGTAGTAGATTGTAGTGTAGTAGATTGTAGTGTAGTAGATTGTAGTGGAGTAGGCTGTAGTGGAGTAGATTGTAGTGTAGTAGATTGTAGAGTAGTAGGTTGTAGTGTAGTAGATTGTAGTGTAGTAGATTGTAGTGTAGTAGATTGTAGTGTAGTAGGCTGTAGTGTAGTAGATTGTAGTGTAGTAGGTTGTAGTGTAGTAGATGGTAGTGTAGTAGGTTGTAGTGTAGTAGATTGTAGTGGAGTAGATTGTACTGTAGTAGATTGTAGTGTAGTAGATTGTAGTGTAGTAGATTGTAGTGTAGTAGATCGTAGTGTAATAGATTGTAGTGGAGTAGATTGTAGTGTAGTAGGTTGTAGTATAGTAGGTTGTAGTGTAATAGATTGTAGTGTAGTATGTTGTAGTGTAGTAGATTGTAGTGAAGTAGCTTGTTGTGTAGTAGGTTGTAGTGTAGTAGATTGTAGTGCAATAGATTGTAGTGTAGTAGGTTGTAGTGTAGTAGGTTGTAGTGTAGTAGGTTGTAGTGTAGTAGATTGTAGTGTAGTAGGTTGTAGTGTAGTAGGTTGTAGTGTAGTAGATGGTAGTGTAGTAGGTTGTATTGTAGTAGGTTGTAGTGTGGTAGGTTGTAGTGTAGTAGGTTGAAATGAAACAACCGCGGGAACCCAATAAACCCCCCCGTGCAGCAGTTACATGTCAATTCAACATGAAAACGTACTTATAATGTTCTGCTGCTATGTCAAACTCTCCCAGGAATATGTGGGCATTCCCGAGGTTGGTGTATGCCCGCCTCTCAGCTGCCTTGTCTCCAAACTCCTTAGCTATTGCCAGTCTCTGCAACAGATACAATTTAGCAGGTATATAGACAGCGTAACAAAGCAATACATTAGTAACACACAGTAACACACAGTAACAGACATTCTAAGATGTTGAGCTAAAAGATGAAAGGCACACTTTTTGAGTTCCGACCAAAAGGCTGCCATCCTGGTGGCTCTGACTGGTGACCCAGTGCACTCACTCACCTCCTCATGGAACTTTATGGCCTGGCTGAAGTTCCCCAGGAGGTAGTGGGTGTTGCCGAGGTTCCCACACGCACGACCCTGAGCCGCCCGATCACCCAGTTCCCGGACAATGGTCAGGTTCTCTCTGTTGAAATATCACAATGTCAAAATAGCAATCCTAAATTTGCGTCTGAAAGATCAAAGCATCAAAGGAACAGTGACTCAAACTCTACACCTTACAGTGAGTCACAAGTACACTCTACATCTCACAGTAAGTCACACTCTACATCTCACAGTGAGTCACACTCTACATCTCACAGTGAGTCACACTCTACATCTCACAGTGAGTCACACTCTACATCTCACAGTGAGTCACACTCTACATCTCACAGTGAGTCATACTCTACATCTCACAGTGAGTCACACTGTACATCTCACAGTAAGTCATACTCTACATCTCACAGTGAGTCACACTCTACATCTCACAGTAAGTCACACTGTACATCTCACAGTGAGTCATACTCTACATCTCACAGTGAGTCACACTCTACATCTCACAGTGAGTCACACTGTACATCTCACAGTGAGTCACACTGTACATCTCACAGTGAGTCACACTGTACATCTCACAGTGAGTCACACTGTACATCTCACAGTAAGTCACACTCTACATCTCACAGTGAGTCATACTGTACATCTCACAGTGAGTCATACTGTACATCTTACAGTGAGTCATACTCTTCATCTCACATGGAGTCACACTGTACATCTCACAGTGAGTCAAACTCTACATCTTACAGTGAGTCACAGGTACACTCTACATCTCACAGTGAGTCACACTGTACATCTCACAGTGAGTCACACTGTACATCTCACAGTGAGTCACACTCTACGTCTCACAGTGAGTCATACTCTACATCTCACAGTGAGTCATACTCTACATCTCACAGTGAGTCACACTGTACATCTCACAGTGAGTCACACTGTACATCTCACAGTGAGTCACACTGTACATCACACAGTGAGTCATACTCTACATCTCACAGTGAGTCACACTGTACATCTCACAGTGAGTCATACTCTACATCTCACAGTGAGTCACAGGTACACTCTACATCTCACAGTGAGTCACACTGTACATCTCACAGTGAGTCACACTCTACATCTCACAGTGAGTCATACTCTACATCTCACAGTGAGTCACACTGTACATCTCACAGTGAGTCATACTCTACATCTCACAGTGAGTCACACTGTACATCTCACAGTGAGTCACACTGTACATCTCACAGTGAGTCATACTGTACATCTCACAGTGAGTCATACTCTACATCTCACAGTGAGTCACACTGTACATCTCACAGTGAGTCACTGGTACACTCTACATCTCACAGTGAGTCACAGGTACACTCTACATCTCACAGTGAGTCACAGGTACACTCAACATCTCACAGTGAGTCATACTGTACATCTCACAGTGAGTCATTCTCTACATCTCACAGTGAGTCACACTGTACATCTCACAGTGAGTCATACTCTACATCTCACAGTGAGTCACACTGTACATCTCACAGTGAGTCACACTGTACATCTCACAGTGAGTCACACTGTACATCTCACAGTGACTCAAACTCTACATCTTACAGTGAGTCACTGGTACACTCTACATCTCACAGTGAGTCACAGGTACACTCTACATCTCACAGTGAGTCACTGGTACACTCTACATCTCACAGTGAGTCACTGGTACACTCTACATCTCACAGTGAGTCACAGGTACACTCTACATCTCACAGTGAGTCACACTCTACATCTCACAGTGAGTCACAGGGACACTACATGACTTACTCATAGTATTTGGCAGCCTTCTGCAGACAATCCTTGACCTCTGGAGGGAATTCTCCTGGGTCTTGGTGTCCACTCCTCCCAACATGCTTCCCTTTTGCATGGTAAACATTGCCCAGATTGTACAGAGCCCGTGCCTCGCCCACCTACAACAGACGGAATAAATACAGTGTAAGAGTAAACATTACCAAGACTTGTTATCTCCAAAGTCTAAATGTAGCCCTCTGCAACACTCTTACAGACACTAAGTATTTCCAGTAGTGCTATTGACTGTGCCAAATGGCAAAAGTGCAGGTACCTGTTACTTTCTGAACTCTGTCGTGGCTGGTGCACCGGCATCAATGACCACTGCGGGTTTGAACAAGTGAACCAACCTGAACTATCATAGGGGGAGGTCAATATCACTCCCACAACATTCAGTGTAGACTGACTTCTACACAAGTAAAGCCATGTTACACCCATGGTGCTTGGTATTCTTTGAGCACGGAAACAGAATGATCTGGTTTCTTGTAGGACATATACCTCTATGAGAATGACATTAACATGTGTCCTATTTTGAATTATCCATCTGTTATATGATATTGAGTATTATTGAGAATTACATACATGTAGGTGTGTGACCTCTCTTAATCGTCCATGTGTTATATACTACACTTAGAATTACTGAGAGTTACACAAAGGCATGACTCTGCAAATTGCCCATGCTATGAGTTATATTGAGAATACGAGGGGCAGCGGAGTAGCCTAGTGGTTAAGGCTTGGCTCGTCACGCGGAAGACCCGGGTGGGATTCCCCAAATGGGTACAATGTGTGAAGCCCATTGTTCTGAAGCGTCCGGGAACAATTGTCCGGGAACAAGTTTCATGTTCCTGGACACAGTGGTTGACGCATTGGTACACAACAGCTTCGCGGAAAGCGTTAAAGTTGGCATGCAGCACGTGCTTCTTGTTGGATGAGGGCAAAATGCGCATGCTCTAGAAACAGATTATTTCAGTTGTCTTCTGGCATTCATATGGGCAAGGAGTAAATGGATATCTCCCTCTAAGTTAGCAAATAATGAATTAGAATATTACAGAAATAGAATAGAACAGAACAGAATAGAATAGAAATAGTTGAGAGAGTTACCCATTTACATTGTTACCATACGGCAACTTCACTTTTAGTTTCAAATCCATTTCATTTGATCTTATCACATTTTCATTGTTTAGTTGATTACAAGGGGATTTCACGTTTAGTTGATTATAAGGGATTTCACGTTTAGTTGATTACAAGGGGATTTCACGTTTAGTTGATTACAAGGGGATTTCACGTTTAGTTGATTGAAAGGTAAGTTCATGTTTAGTTTAGTTTAGTCTTCCACTGCGAAACACCCATTTTCCGATGTCCCCCGACTGTAATATTGATAAACTATTGCCAGTTTATAGTTTAAACTATTGGTCAGATTGGCATGATATGTCATGGCAATAGGAGGTACATTCAACAATTTCGTTTGATAGTTCGTCAAGGTAGGACGTTGTAGAAGATATTAGTTAAGATTCTTTTACATTTCCATTTGAACCAAAAGCTTTATTAGAATGGTATTTAGATATTAGATAGACAGCTTACACCAACTAAGTTGGAAACTGGAACAGATAGCCACTGTAGCCCAAGTTCGTCAGAAACTGGAACAGATAGCCAGTGTAGACCAAGTTCGTCAGACACTGGAACAGATAGCCAGTGTAGCCCAAGTTCGTCGGAAACTGGAACAGATAGCCAGTGTAGACCAAGTTCGTCGGAAACAGGAACAGATAGCCAGTGTAGACCAAGTTCGTCAGAAACTGGAACAAATAGCCAGTGTAGGCCAAGTTCGTCAGACAATGGAACAGATAGCCACTGTAGCCCAAGTTCGTCGGAAACTGGAACAGATAGCCAGTGTAGACCAAGTTCGTCGGAAACTGGAACAGATAGCCAGTGTAGGCCAAGTTCGTCAGACACTGGAACAGATAGCCAGTGTAGACCAAATTCGTCGGAAACTGGAACAAACAGCCAGTGTAGACCAAGTTCGTCGGAAACTGGAACAATTAGCCAGTGTAGACCAAGTTCGTCAGACACTGGAACAGATAGCCAGTGAAGACCAAGTTCGTCAGACACTGGAACAGATAGCAACTGTAGCCCAAGTTCGTCGGAAACTGGAATAGATAGCCAGTGTAGGCCAAGTTCGTCGGAAACTGGAACAGATAGCCAGTGTACACCAAGTTCGTCGGACACTGGAACAGATAGCCAGTGTAGCCCAAGTTTGTCGGAAACTGGAACAGATAGCCAGTGTAGACCAAGTTCGTCGGAAACTGGAACAGATAGCCAGTGTAGACCAAGTTCGTCAGAAACTGGAACAAATAGCCAGTGTAGGCCAAGTTCGTCAGACACTGGAACAGATAGCCACTGTAGCCCAAGTTCGTTGGAAACTGGAATAGATAGCCACTGTAGCCCAAGTTCGTCGGAAACTGGAATAGATAGCCACTGTAGCCCAAGTTCGTCAGACACTGGAACAGATAGCCAGTGTAGCCCAAGTTCGTCGGAAACTGGAACAGATAGCCAGTGTAGGCCAAGTTCGTCAGACACTGGAACAGATAGCCATTGTAGACCAAGTTCGTCGGAAACAGGAACAGATAGCCAGTGTAGACCAAGTTCGTCAGAAACTGGAACAAATAGCCAGTGTAGGCCAAGTTCGTCAGACACTGGAACAGATAGCCAGTGTAGACCAAGTTCGTCAGACAATGGAACAGATAGCCACTGTAGCCCAAGTTCGTCGGAAACTGGAACAGATAGCCAGTGTAGACCAAGTTCGTCGGAAACTGGAACAGATAGCCAGTGTAGGCCAAGTTCGTCAGACACTGGAACAGATAGCCAGTGTAGACCAAATTCGTCGGAAACTGGAACAAACAGCCAGTGTAGACCAAGTTCGTCGGAAACTGGAACAATTAGCCAGTGTAGACCAAGTTCGTCAGACACTGGAACAGATAGCCAGTGAAGACCAAGTTCGTCAGACACTGGAACAGATAGCAACTGTAGCCCAAGTTCGTCGGAAACTGGAATAGATAGCCAGTGTAGGCCAAGTTCGTCAGAAACTGGAACAAATAGCCAGTGTAGCCCAAGTTCGTCAGACACTGGAACAGATAGCCACTGTAGCCCAAGTTCGTCGGAAACTGGAATAGATAGCCACTGTAGCCCAAGTTCGTCGGAAACTGGAATAGATAGCCACTGTAGCCCAAGTTCGTCAGACACTGGAACAGATAGCCAGTGTAGCCCAAGTTCGTCGGAAACTGGAACAGATAGCCAGTGTAGGCCAAGTTCGTCAGACACTGGAACAGATAGCCAGTGTAGACCAAGTTCGTCGGAAACTGGAATAGATCGCCACTGTAGCCCAAGTTCGTCAGATAATGGAACAGATAGCCACTGTAGCCCAAGTTCTTCGGAAACTGGAACAAATAGCCAGTGTAGACCAAGTTCATCAGAAACTGGAACTGATAGCCAGTGTAGCCCAAGTTCTTCGGAAACTGGAACAAATAGCCAGTGTAGACCAAGTTCGTCAGACACTGGAACAGATAGCCAGTGTAGCCCAAGTTCTTCGGAAACTGGAACAAATAGCCAGTGTAGACCAAGTTCATCAGAAACTGGAACTGATAGCCAGTGTAGACCAAGTTCATCAGACACAAGAACAAATAGCCAGTGTACACCAAGTTCGTCAGACACTGGAACAGATAGCCAGTGTAGACCAAGTTTGTCAGACACTGGAACAGATAGCCACTGTAGCCCAAGTTCGTCGGAAACTGGAACAAATAGCCAGTGTAGACCAAGTTCATCAGAAACTGGAACTGATAGCCAGTGTAGACCAAGTTCATCAGACACAAGAACAAATAGCCAGCGTACACCAAGTTCGTCAGACACTGGAACAGATAGCCAGTGTAGACCAAGTTCGTCAGACACTGGAACAGATAGCCACTGTAGCCCAAGTTCGTCGGAAACTGGAATAGATAGCCAGTGTAGGCTAAGTTCGTCGGAAACTGGAACAGATAGCCAGTGTAGACCAAGTTCGTCGGAAACTGGAACAGATAGCCAGTGTAGACCAAGTTCGTCGGAAACTGGAACAGATAGCCAGTGTAGACCAAGTTCGTCAGAAACTGGAACAAATAGCCAGTGTAGGCCAAGTTCGTCAGACACTGGAACAGATAGCCACTGTTGGCCAAGTTCGTCGGAAACTGGAATAGATAGCCACTGTAGCCCAAGTTCGTCGGAAACTGGAATAGATAGCCACTGTAGCCCAAGTTCGTCAGACACTGGAACAGATAGCCACTGTAGCCCAAGTTCGTCAGAAACTGGAACAGATAGCCACTGTAGCCCAAGTTCTTCGGAAACTGGAACAAATAGCCAGTGTAGACCAAGTTCATCAGAAACTGGAACTGATAGCCAGTGTAGCCCAAGTTCTTCGGAAACTGGAACAAATAGCCAGTGTAGACCAAGTTCGTCAGACACTGGAACAGATAGCCAGTGTAGCCCAAGTTCTTCGGAAACTGGAACAAATAGCCAGTGTAGACCAAGTTCATCAGAAACTGGAACTGATAGCCAGTGTAGACCAAGTTCATCAGACACAAGAACAAATAGCCAGTGTACACCAAGTTCGTCAGACACTGGAACAGATAGCCAGTGTAGACCAAGTTTGTCAGACACTGGAACAGATAGCCACTGTAGCCCAAGTTCGTCGGAAACTGGAACAAATAGCCAGTGTAGACCAAGTTCATCAGAAACTGGAACTGATAGCCAGTGTAGACCAAGTTCATCAGACACAAGAACAAATAGCCAGTGTACACCAAGTTCGTCAGACACTGGAACAGATAGCCAGTGTAGACCAAGTTCGTCAGACACTGGAACAGATAGCCACTGTAGCCCAAGTTCGTCGGAAACTGGAATAGATAGCCAGTGTAGGCCAAGTTCGTCGGAAACTGGAACAGATAGCCAGTGTAGACCAAGTTCGTCGGACACTGGAACAGATAGCCAGTGTAGCCCAAGTTTGTCGGAAACTGGAACAGATAGCCAGTGTAGACCAAGTTCGTCGGAAACTGGAACAGATAGCCAGTGTAGACCAAGTTCGTCAGAAACTGGAACAAATAGC